TTGTTTAGACTTATGTTTTGATAGTTTGACAACCAGGTCTGCCACAAGGAGTTTGTGTTGGGCGACACACGACTCATCTCTTCTGATTCGCCTGTCTGGGGTGCATATGCAGAAAAAATAGTCATTGTTTCCTTTTCTAGGCGAATTTTGATCCACATGAGACGTGAATTAATCCTTTTAATATCCAGTACTTCTTGGGCTAGCGGTTCATTGACAAAAATTCCAACATAATTTTTGGCCGTCTTTTGACCATTCCACAATAGTTTATATTTGAACCTTCTAGATAACAACATAAAAATTTTATACAACAATCAACAGCACTACAACCTAAGAATCGCAGAAGCCATTTTTATCGAATCTGAAAAACCTTCAATCAACATCCAACAATGATTCACAATACTTCCAACTCGGAAAATGCACAACAATAACGTAATTACTATGTAACATTAATCGGATCAACCAGCAATCTAACAGTGATGATAAAAACATTAATAATGATAATAGCAGCAACAGCAATAATTAATATAATAATAATTATAATAAAGACAATAATAATAATAAAAACAATAATAATAAAAAACAATAATGGATATAAGACCTATTCTATTAAAAAGATTGTTAAGAGCAAATTACTACACAACAATAACCTTCCTAATATCAACAATCAAGATAACGACATCATCTTGTATTACAGAAATCACATGTCAACTGCATACAAAGTAGATAAAGCTATTCTTAAACATATCATTAATAAAAATGTCACACCAACCCAATTAGTAAAGTTAAATTCCGAATTTATTACAACAATAAAAAGACGTCTCACCTAATACTGAAAAATAATTGTAGTTCTAGAGATAACTCTGTGTTAAAGCGTAATCACGTAATATATGAATTTAATTGCCCCTTTGACGACTGTGAACGTCAACATGACTCATATATCGGGATTACTACTACCTCACTATCTAGAAGGCTTACGATGCATAAACAGAGTGGGGCTATTAAATCTCATTTGGACTCAACACACTCAATCACTATAAGCCGTGAAATTCTCGACAGCAACATCAAAGTAATATGCCAGAACACCAACTACATCTTAAAATTGCAGAAGCGGTCGTAATTGACATCAATAAACCAAAAATAAATATACAACAAAAAATGACAACCTCACTCCCAACCGCCGGGTTGGGAGTGAGGTTGGTTAGTTAGTAGATATGAGTGTTGAGCAATGCTGTGTGTGTGAGTATGTATATTTTGCACGAACACTTCCCGCCACAGACGGTAGAGAAGAACACAGAGTTTTGAAATACTTTATTATTATAACCCACAGAAACTCGCTTTGTTTCGACACATGTGTTTCGAATTCGTGTTATAAATTCTCATCAGGAATTGGCGAGTGTCCAACAAAAAGAGAATAAGCTCCGAATTTCAAGTTCTCCGTGAGATAGTGCAAAATCGTACGGAGTAATGTAAACAGAATTTAAAATTAATAGCCCCACTCTGTTTATTGCGTAATCAATAATGAAAACAAAGAGGTAATAAAAACTAGCATTGTAAATAATGACAAAGAAGAATATGATGCTATCAATGAAAAAAGGGAACCAACGAAGATTCAATAAAGAAATCTGACACCTAATTTCCATCTAAGTTCACTTTCACAAAGTGAAAATTTCCCTATATAAATCAACTTGCACTGATGATGATTCATTCGGAATCGAAATATGGCCTTATATGCAACATGAATTCGGAAAATAAGTTTATTTTGAATTTTAATATTTCCCTATATATACAGCAAGGAGCACTGATGATGATTCATTCGGATTCGAAATATGGCCTTATTTGCACCTAATTTCCATCTAAGTTCATTTTGACAAAGTCAATATTTTCTTATATGAACATCAAAAAGCACTGATGATGAATCATTCGGAATCTAAATATGGCCTTATTTGCAGAATGAATTCGGAAAATAAGTTTATTTTGAATTTTAATAAACTAAACGTTCACCAAATTCTTTAGTGAAAAAAATCGAAAAAACGAACTACAAACATATTAACGCCAAACATTCGGTAGAATATTGTAAAAATATATATATATATATATATATATATATATATATATATATATATATATATATATATATATACTTTTACTTCATTTTCAGAGGTTACTAATGGTAGTTGAGAAATCAACGGCAAAATATTATTCCAACTGACATCATTAAGAAACATGTTAATCTGTTTACTCCTTTTTTTACAAGTTTGGTTAATATGTCTTTGAGGACTGGTCAATTTCATGAGGGGTGTAAAAATTCAATTGTGTGTCCTCTTTTGAAGAAGAACAATCTCGATCCTGGTAAAATTAGCAGCTACAGACCGGTTTCTAATCTCTGTTTTGCCTCTAAGCTTATTGAACGGTTGGTTGCTAAACAGATACTGGATCACTTGAAGAATAACAATTTGTTGCCTGTTCATCAGTCTGGCTTTAGACAGTGCCATTCTACAGAGACGGCGCTATTGCAGGTTTTTTTTAGATCTTTGTTCAGCATTGGATGTATAGAAGATATCACTCCTGGCTTTCCTTGTATGAGTGCGGCGTTCGGTTGTGTTGATCACAGGATTCTTTTAGATAGATTGCAATATGGTTTTGGTCTTTCTGATGGAGTGTTAGAATGGATGAAATCTTATTTGGTTGGTAGATCTCAATAGGTATCATTTGGAGGTAAGATGTCTGACGTCAGTGGGGTTGTCTTTGGTGTGCCACAGGGGTCGGTTCTTGGCCCGTTGTTGTTTCTGCTCTATACGTCAGAGGTATTTAACGTAGTTGAATCATTTGGGTTGACAAGTCATGCTTTTGCGGACGATATTCAAAAAATAGTTAATAGTACAATAGATTCATTTCCGTTGGAAATGAAAAGATTTGTAAAATGCTTGTCAGCTGTTGATTTATGGATGTCGCAAAATGGCTTGAAATTAAACCGAAATAAAACTAAACGTTTGCCGGTGGGAACATGGCAGCAGTAGTCCAAATTGAAGATAAACTCAATCACAGTTGATGAAGAGACAATTTTATTTTGTAACAATGCGACTAAACTGGGTGTGATTTTTGATTCGAATCTAACAATGAAGCACCATATTAAGATGGTTTCAAGAGATTGCATTTATCAGATTAGAAGATTGAATCAAATTCGTGGATCATTGAACGTCTCCACGCTTCAGACGCTGGTTCATGCATTTGTTCACTCGAGAGTTGATTACTGCAACAGTTTGTATTATGGATTGCCAGACAAGTCCATCCGTGTATTGCAGTCTTTGCAAAATCGTGCGGCTAGGGTTGTGGTTGGCGGTCGATGGGATGATCATGTGACACCTATACTTAAAGATTTGCACTGGGTAACTGTTGATAAGAGAATAATTTACAAAATTTTTATTTTGATGTATAAGGTACTCACAGGTAGTGCTCCAAAATATCTGCAGGATAAGATCAACAGTGATTTGCCACGTCCGACCGGGATTCATCTAAGATCATTTGACATGAATCGGTTGATAGTTCCTGCTACAAACTTGTGTATTGGTTATTGGTTCACGAAACTTTGCTGTTTCAGGACCGACTGTCTGGAATGGTCTGCCGGCTTCGCTCAGGGACATTGGGTTGACCATGACATGCTTTAGAAAAAAACTCAAAACATTTTTGTTTTTGTTACAATGATATCTTAATTTTTTTGAATTGTTCTATAGTGTTTTTTTTATAATTGTGTTGAATTGTTAAAGTTTTTTGCAGCCAGACAATTATTTCTACGTTTAACTTTATTTTAGTGAGGACATGTTTAATCTTATGTTTAATTTTGGGTTATTTTATTTTTTGATGGTGCTTTTGAATTTTAACTTACTAGCGCTAGATAAATCTTTTGATAATATATATATATATATATATATATATATATATATATATATATATATAGTTGTTCAAAAAATCCACCGACGATTCAGCATTAACAAGTTTTATGGTTGATTTTCTAATATTTTGAACTAGTTTTTTACAATTAAGTCTATTCAAAATGAATTTAAAAGAACAACAACTACAACAACAATAATAATAATGGTAATGATGATGATGATGATAATAATATACAATAATAATAATAATAATAATAATAATAATAATAATAATAATAATAATAATAATAATAATAATAATAATAATGATAATGATAATGATAATAACAATAATAATAATAATAATAATGATAATAATAATAATAATAAAAATAATAATTAATAATATTAATAATAATAATAATAATAATAGAAACGATATTCTAATTAATTTCGCGCTTCAAATTTGTGACATTGTTGGTTGCCATCTTGACAACGGCCACGTACCATGAACAATCGTATAATTTCAAATATTTTGTTTACTAATTTCAATGAACCTTTGCGTTTTTATTTCGTTACTTTTATTTTATTTTAATATATAAAAA